TTTCACTTAGCGTAATATTTTCAAGGTTTATCCATGTTGTAGCATGGGTTAGTACTTTATTCCTTTTTATGGTTGAATAATATTCCAATGTATGGTGTAACATTTTGTTTATTCATTCATCAGTTGATGGATATGTTTGGCTATTATAAATACCACTGCTATGACCATTCGTATATAAGTTTTAGTGTGGACATATGTTTTTAATTTTCTTGGATATATACCTGGAATTGGAATTGCTGGATCATATAGTAACTCTATGCTTAACTCTTTGAGGAGTTGCTAAGTTATTTTCCAAAGAGACTGTACCATTTTTATTCCTACCAGTAATGTCTGAGAGTTCCAATTTCTCTACATCCTCATTAGCACTTACAATTGTCCATTTTTAAGATTATGACTATCCTAGTTGGTATTAGGCAAGTTTTTAAAGAGAAAAAAATCTTACAGTTGTTTCTTTTTTATTATTATTATTATTATTATTATTATTATTCTTTAAGTTCTAGGGTACACGTGCATAACGTGCAGGTTTGTTACATATGTATACTTGTGCCATGTTGGTGTGCTGCATCCATCAACTCGTCAGCACCCATCAACTCGTCATTTACATCAGGTATAACTCCCAATGCAATCCCTCCCCCCTCCCCCCTCCCCATGATAGGCCCCGGTGTGTGATGTTCCCCTTCCCGAGTCCAAGTGATCTCATTGTTCAGTTCCCACCTATGAGTGAGAACATGCGGTGTTTGGTTTTCTGTTCTTGTCATTCTCAGCAAACTATTACAGTTGTTTCTTCACATATCTTCACTCGGCCTCCCAAAGTGCTGGGAGCCACTGCTCCCAGCTTTTATTATTCTATTTCTATGCCGTGTCAGGAGTAGGCGAATCCGTAGAGACAGAAAGTTGAAGGCTTAGAACTGTGCCTGGCATTTAATAGACAACACGAAACATATACTTGTTAAATAAATAAATCATTTTGTCATCTCAATGGGACTATTTCCATTTTGTTTTATTCCTGTCTAATCTGTCTACATAATACATATTTCACACAGTTACAACTATATTTGCAATTCTTCCTGCTTTCTTTCACCTCACATTAAACTTTAAAATATCATGTTTCCACACAGCCTTCATAATTATTATTGTATTGGCTGCCTAATAGTTCATTTATTGGATGCAGTGTAATGGACTAAACCATTAGATAGTTAGTGTGCATGTGATTTTTCAATACTGAGTTTTTAGCAAGTTGGAAGTGAAGGAGAAAGTTGCCTATTTGGCAGCCTTTTCCAAATGACAATGTGATGGCTGGAGAGAGCAGACAGAAAAATACCTGTATTCCAGCCAGGCGCAGTGGCTCACGCCTATAATCCTAGCACTTTGGGAGGCTGAGGCGGGTGGATCACGAGGTCAGGAGATCAAGACCATCCTGGCTAACACAGTGAAATCCTGTCTCTACTAAAAATAAAAATAAAAATAAAAATAGCCAGGCGTGGTGGTGGGCGCCTGTAGTCCCAGCTACTCCGGAGAATGGCGGGAAGCTGGGAGGCGGAATTGCAGTGAGCCCAGATTACACCACTACACTCCAGCCTGGGCAACAGAGCGAGACTCTGTCTCCAAAAAAAAGAAAGAAAGAAAAAAGAAAACTACCTGTATTCATCAGGGCTCTCCAGAGAAAGAAAACTAATGGGGATCTATACATATATATGTAAATCCCTCTCTCTCTCTTTCTCTTTCATGTGTGCATATATATATACACACACACACAAAATGTATAAATATATTTATATATTATTTCATATATACATATATATTTATATACATATATACACACACACACACATATAGGTATTTTAGGCTTGCTAGGGCTTTGCAGGCCATATTTCACAAATACTCAACTGTTGTTATAACTCAAAAATATCCATAGAAAATATGTAAATGAATGTGCTTTGTTGTGTACCCTACCAATAAAACTTTATTTACAAAAGCATGTGGTAGGCCAGATTTGGTCTGTGGGCCACAGTTATTGACCTCTGTAAATATATGTGTGTGTGTGCGCGTGTGTGTGTGTATAGATTTACATATGTATAAACATAAATTTATTATAGTAATAAATAAATACAGAGCTTCATTATAAAAAATTAGCTCACGTGATTATGGAGGCTGGAGGCTAGCAAGTCGATTCTGCAGCATGGGCCCACAGGCTGGAGATTCAGGAGAGCCAATGGTGCCAGTGAAGTTCAAAGGCAGTCTACTGGAGAATTCCTTCCTGCTCAGGGAAGTTGGTCTTTTTTTCTATTCAGATCTTCAACTCATTGAATGAGGCCCACCCATATTACGAAGAGAAATCTCCTTTACTCAAAGTTCACCAACTTAAATGTTAATCTCATCCAGCAACACCCTCTAAGTTGACACATAAAGTTAATCATCACAATCCTGAATGGATTCCAAGGTCCTGCTTTGGTTTCCTGTGTTGTGTACATGAAAAAATTACCTAAGAGTCTGACCCACTTATGAACCCTGCCTTCTAAGCTTCATTGCTTAAACAAAGGCAAAATAGAATAAAGAGAGAAGAGTAGAGGTGGCTGCAAAATGAAGAATATTAGCTTCATTATTAGGACAGTAGATTCCAAACCAGTAGGGTTTTGATGAGCATTTCTGTCTTCCTCATTATACTGTCGTTGCCTTATCCTGAGTTTTCCACCTTCAGTCTGTATGCCCTTAATACAGTTTGACTGTGTCCCCACCAAAATCTCATCTTGAATTGTAGCTCCCATAATCCCCATGTGTCGTGGGAGGGACCTGGTGGGAGGTAATTAAATCATGGGGGCAGGTTTTTCCCATACTATTCTCATGATAGTGAATAAGTCTCATGAGAACTGATGGTTTGATAAGGGGCAGTTCCCCTGCACACGTTCTATTGCCTGCCACCATGCAAGACATGTCTTTGCTCCTCCTTCACCTTCCACCATGATTGTGAGGCCTCCCCAGCCATGTGGAACTGTGAGTCCATTAAATCTCTTTTTCTTTATAAATTACTCAGTCTTGGGTATGTCTTTATTAGCAGCATGAGAACAGACTAATATACTCGTTGAAGGCAAAGACTGTGCCTGGAGCCCCATTGTAGCTCTTGGGTTCACCTGTTAAGTCCTCAACAAATTTTGGTCCTTATTTATAAATTGCTATTGTTTGCATGTGTCCTCCAAACTTCATGTATTGGAAACTTAATCCCATGCAACAGTTTTTGGGAGGTGGGGCCTAATAAAAGCTGATTAGGTCGGAGGGCTCTGCCCTCATGAATGGATTAATGTTGTTATAACAGGAGTGAGTTATTTATCTCGAAAGTACCTTTGTTATAAAAGTGAGTCCGGCCTCCTCTTGCTTGCTCACTGTTGCCCTTTCTTGCCTTCCACCTTCTGCCATGAGATGACACAACATGAAGGCCCTCACCAGATGCAGGCACCATGCTCTTAGACTTTCCAGTCTCTGGAACAGTGAGCCAAATAAACTTCTATTGTTTATAAATTAATCCATCTCAGGTATTCTGGCATAGCTGCAGAAAACAGACTAAGACACAGATATTCAAGGTGTGCCTAACTTGTGCTGCCTCTGTGTAAACAGCTTAGGTACATGGTCTTGATTACATCTTACAACAAGCATATGAAGTAGGTACCGTTCTCACGTGCATAGTGGATTGCCTGGTGAAATGGAATTTTTTTTAAAAAGCTTGATGTTTAGGAATTCCTGGCTGCTTCTTTGTGTTGGGGAGAAAGCAAACCTTCTAGAAACATCTTTTGTTATTCTAGGAAAAATCACTTGAATAGCACTTCTTAGTAAACAAATGCGAAGAGGTAGATACCCATTTCCCGGTGAGATAGAAAGGTCAGGATGATGGCTTCCCCTTGTCCTCCTCTTATGAGGTAGACAAAGTCAGCACCTCTCCTTCCATTTCTGTAAGTCCTCACAGGGTATAAAGTTGACTGCTAGAGGGTAGTAGGAGACAGCATATAGAGACAAGAGAAGGAAAATTCTAGATAAAATCGAGCCTCATGTCTAGTTTACATGCATAGCTGCTCCTGGGGACAGCTATTCCCTCTCCTCCCCAGCCTGGTTCCCAGCTCGGCTCCATAGGATCTCTCCTTTCTCTCCTTTTCTAGAAAGTTCTTGTTCTGCCTCACTATTCCCACCATGCATAGCCTTTTGGTTATGTGTCTGCACTGCATAATTTAACACAGTGGCTCCTAATGTGCTTTTTAAATATGAGACCATCTTTAACCGTTTAAAATTGTATTTATCTGTATAAAACTAACACATACTTGTAAAAATAATACAAATAATACAGAAATGTATTATGTAGAATGTTGGAGTCCATCATTATGACATCCATTGAGATAAACGTCACTGACAACTGCTTTTGTGTATTTTCTGGATCATTTTCTGCATATTGTACAATAACAGTAGTGTTAGTAGCTAATATCGCAATGAGCAAAGCACTTGCCACACACTTTACATTTTGCCTATATTATTTTTAATCCTCACATCACATTCCTGATATAGGATTATTAGATTTCATTTTGACAAAAGAGCAAACTGAGGCTCACAGAGCAGTAAATAAACTTGCACATGGTCCAATTAAGCAAGGGGTGGATCAAGGTTCAAATCTCAGCAACTGAGCTCCAGAACCTTTCTTTGCAATAACCATGATATTTGTTATTGTGTCTACAATTTGGGATAATAATATAAATGCTGGTTTGCAACTTGCTTTTACACTCAGTATTTTTAAAAACTAGTACTTACAAATGCGCTTTCTGCTTTTTAATGCAAGGGGTTGATGCATTGTACCATAAAGTGAAGTGTTAGTGATTCCACAGAATAGGCATTGTGCATTCTAACTGAATTGGTGTTTTGCACATCACAGCAGTAGCTACAAATATTTGAAGAGAAGGGTATGTGTATGAATGAGACATATTATTTCTTGGATTTTTACTGTGAAAATGAACAAAGACAAACCAAACGAGAAAAGCAAAAGCTATTTATTCTGAGCTTGCTATAGCAAGGGAGTCAACCACCAACTCCTTGTTCTGAAAGAGACTCAAAAGGAGGAAGAGGAGTGGAAAACTTATCAAATGGGAAAAAGGGAAGGCTTCAGCGTGCCCTGATTGGAAGCTGTTGTCCTGGAGAAGCTGGAGGCGGCTAATGAGAAGTGGGGCATCCTATGTGATTGATTAGGGTGCATATCTCGCTTTCTCTGGTTGGTCCTAAATTGGAAGCAGGGACAAAAATCAGGAAGGCTGTCGGCTATTAATCAAACCCTAGCCATTTTGGGTCAATTGTTACAGAAGTTATCCTTTAACTTCCTATTTTGTTACTAGGGATAGCAATTCTGGCTTCCTGCAAGTCTGACTTATAGTAAGCTGGCTTTCCGGGCTGATAGTTATAGATAAGTGGGTTGGTTTCCTGGCCACGCTTCTGCAGGTTTTGGGTCCAAGTTCTACTTTTATATATGGTCTGGCCATTGTCCATTTGTATTTTCAGTCTCTCAATACGCAAGGCTTGGTGGTTCATAAGGATGTATGAACCCCTTCAGCACATTCCATGGAGGACCCTCTCTTCACAGCCCATGGAAAGGAATCCACTGCTTTAAAATATCAGAAAATGATGCAGGCATGTATCCTGGGATTAGATGCTTTGGGCAGGTAGCAATCTGGCTTGGACCTCTGTGTCCTCAAATGTCAGATATTTTGCCAGGCATGGAGCAGAGTCCTCAGTCAGTATGCATTCTTCTCCAGGGTAAGAGAATCCAGTAAGGTGGTTTTTAGCTGTGATGCACTGGGGAGATGGTGCTGTGTGTTGTTAAGAAATTTAGAATTAGAAGTTTTGGGTTCTGGTGATATTCTGCCACTTACTTGTTGTGTGCCTTTGAGAAGTCCACAGCTCCAAGCCTGTTTCTGCTCCTGGAATGTAAGTCCAGTTTAGCCCTTTCACAGCCAACCTACCCCCTGTGTCAGTGTGAGATCTGCACAATATCTGTGAAAATGCTTCATAATTATGTAGAGTTATGCAAATGTGAGTATTATCGGGATTATAGTATGTTATCGCCTGGAATCATGCTTCCAGTATTTTGAAGAATCCATTAATGGGATGCTCTTAAATTTCTTTTTTTTCCCGGCATTGTTCTCAGCCAGGCTACAACAAGGAGTCTTACTTGATCAGTATGGTCTTTACTTAGGTATTTACTCAGCTTTCAGGTCTTTAAAGCAGCACATGATTTTCAAGTGAGTTATTCAATTAATCGTTTCTGTATCACTCTGATGCCCCTTTGGACTGTCTGCTTATTGAAAGCCATCCCATCTGGAGGGGCTGCTCCAACTCCCTGCTCATCCTGCAAACGGATCAAATGGCCTCCAGGGGAAATCCCAATTAATGGCAAAATCAATTAGTCACAAGTTGGGAAGAAAGAGAGAGCCAAATGGTTACCCAACACATAATTTACCTTCCTTTACACAATGCGGTGGTCCAGTAATGCATCTAAATGGGATTTCTACAAATTGAATCAAAATGAAGGAGACTGCCATTTAAAGAGCCCCCGGGGGGAATTACTTGATAAAAGATCTTTCCATATTCATGAATGAGTCTCTTGAGAGAACTGCTATTTCTAAATTTGAATTCTTAAAATCCAGTTTTCAAATTATTATTACATTAGAATAGTTTCTATAATGATAATAGTCATAGAGATCCAATGACTAAAAAGTACATGAATTGTGTGGCTATAGGTTTTTCTCCTCTGGGAGTTAAAGTTTAAAGAGAGATGGTACCCTGATGATAGGTCCTTTATACAAGGCCCTTCCTTCACTTTGACAAGGGAAGAAAAATTTCAACTCGTGCTAAAGAAAATCTCCAACAATTAGTTATAACCAATAAAGGAATGGGTTGCCCTTTGAAGTATTAAGCTGCCTGTCAGAAAAAAATTTAGATTATAACGAACAACTTTGTGGAAATCTGTTTTCATTTTATGATTAGTCTTGAATTTGTTCTAGAAAATACATGTCTGTGGAGGTATGAGAAGCCCTCTCTTATTTCAACAGGTTTATATTAAAATAGCTTTAGGGTAAAATAAATATAAACAACAAGTTTTGGGGGAAAGGAACTGTCCCAGTGGCCATTGGGAAGAAGAATGGGTGGCGGCCACCTGCTTTGCCTAGTGATGCGGGCTTCCTGCTGTTTGTATTTATAGACACATCAAGGCGGGGATGGGGCATCAGAGCACATGGGGGAAGATGAAGCATCACCTGAGAAAGGCCTTTCTTCTTTCTCCATGAATGCCTCCTTGAGTCACTGCCTGGAGCCAACAGCACCATCCCTTCCTTAATGTCTTTTCCCAACTGTTTCTGCAACACATAAACACACACATACACACAGAGATAGATATATACGTCTAGATATCTAAAACAGACAAAGAACCCAGAGAGAGCTTAAAATCAGGACTACAGGTCAGCCAGACTCATGTGGAAGACATCACCCGGAAGTGACCAATCCTCTCATTTTACAAATGAGGAAAGTGAGGCCCAGAGAGGCTATGTGACTCACCTGCCACTCAGGTGGACAAGTCATTTCTTTTCCCTCCATCTCCTGATATGCATCACAGCATCTTCCCGCCTTGAGGACAGGGAGCCAGGAGGTGTGGTGCTCATTAGTTGGGTAATGGCTGCCACCACCTTTGAAGCTGCTGGATAGGATCCCAGGTAAATAGCATTACACCCTGCAAATGAAATGGTTCCCTGTACACAACCTGTTTTCACTTGTTGCCTGTGGCCGCTGGCCACTTGTGGCTGGAAAGATTACCACTGAACTCCAGGTCACAAGCCTCCATCTGCTCACAACCTTCAGAAAATAGGAGGGCTGGGGCTGGTTCTTATTATTAAAAGCAAACAAACCCATTATTAAAAGTAAACAAGACAGAACTGCTTTGAAACAATTGATTAAATGTCTCCTGGCTCAGAAGCCTAAATTCACCGCTATTAGCCCAAACCAAGCCTTACTTAGTGAGAATCTAGAGAGGAAATCTAACAGTTTCTTGTTAAAAAGAATCCCCCTGCCCCCCTGCCCCTGCCCCCACCGTTCTCTTGGGCATTCAGTAACTGCTGCAAGCTAAGCTCAGTAACCACATTATCTCTAATTCTCAAGATTTTGAAATGAGCATTACATTTTGTATTTTATGCAATGGGATGGGCCAGTCAAGTAATTTGCTAACGGACACAGCTGAAACATTGAAACACCAGAATTCGAACTTAAGTCTCTATGACTTCAAACCCCATGCCCATTCCATCTTACACACTGCCCCCATTAAAAATAGTCTCCCATGTTGTTGTCTCTGTTGTTGATTTCAAAGAAAAGCTGAAGACCTAGGAGAAGAAAATCTGCTGTCTGCTCAGGTAAAATCTCTTGAAATTGCAGGCAATCTGGTAGAGTTGTTCTGGGGAGTAAGCTCTGAGCCACCCTGGTTACTTAAATGTATAAAGTGGACAGAGCAAAGACGATAGATGCCAAACTGCTGGTGTTCAACATCTTTCCCCAATGTCTGCCTAATTCCAGTGCCATTTAATATACTTTGTTTTCCAAACAAACCAGAATACACACAAAGCTTGCAGAGCAAGGTACAGAATCTTGGCTTTGCCAGCAAATCCAGAGTTAAGCTCTCAGTGACAGACTCCTACTAGCCAAACTTACAAGAGACTGACATATAGTCAGACCATTAATTGACTACAATAAGATTTTGTTTGCCCAAGTGTCTTAATGCTAGAAACATCTAAACAATGGTTTATTGCAAAATGAATTTTAAAATCTTTAAAATCATGCTATTTGAAGACTCAATAAACAATCTGCTATGTGTCCAAATCTGGGGAATGGAGAGATTTACCACACCACCAATGACTATTTGGGGAACTTACAGCAGCCAATCTCTTCGTGTGGATGGATGGTGTCAACTGTTACAAATAGATGGGCAATGACTCTACCAGTTATTTCATGATGTAAAAAACCTTATGAATCATAAGAAATAAAAAACCACTTATGGGAAAACACTTTGTAAGTTCCTCAAAAGGATACACATAGATTTTCCACAGAACCCAGCAATTCCACTATAGGTATATATCCAAGAGGATTGAAAACATACCCACACAGAAACTCACCCAAGTGTTCATAGCACCTTTATTAGTAACAGCCAAGAAGTACAAACAACTCAAATATCCATCAAGTGATGAATAAACAAGATGTGATATAACCAGACAATGAAATATTATTCAGCCATAAAAAAATAAAGTATCGATCCACGCTACTGCATGGATAAACCTTGAGAACACTATGCTAAGTGAAACAAACCAGATTTTAAAAGGCCACACGTTGTATGATTCATTTACATGAAATGTCCAGAATAGGCAAATCCATAGAGACAGAGTAGATTAGTGGTTATGTAGGGCTAGGGACAAGGGAGGTTGTGTGGAAATGGAGAATGACTGCTAATAGGTAGCGGGTTGGTTTGAGGGGTGATAACAATGTTCTAAAATTGATTGTGGTGATAGTTGCACAACTGTGAATATACTAAAACTCACTGAATTTTGCACTTTAAAAGTGTGCATTTTATGGTATGCAAATTATATCTCAATAAAGCTGGTTTAATTAGAAAGACATAGCCAGTCTTTTTTTTTTTTTTTTTTTGAGACGGAGTCTCGCTCTGTCGCCCAGGCTGGAGTGCAGTGGCCGGATCTCAGCTCACTGCAAGCTCCGCCTCCCGGGTTTACGCCATTCTCCTGCCTCAGCCTCCCAAGTAGCTGGGACTACAGGCGCCCGCCACCTCGCCCGGCTAGTTTTTTGTATTTTTTAGTAGAGACGGGGTTTCACCGTGTTAGCCAGGATGGTCTCGATCTCCTGACCTCGTGATCCGCCCGTCTCGGCCTTCCAAAGTGCTGGGATTACAGGCTTGAGCCACCGCGCCCGGCCATAGCCAGTCTTTTTAACCCTAGCACTCATGCCTGTAGTCCTAGCACTTTGGGAGGCAGGCAGCCGAGGCAGGCAGATTCAATGTCTCCTGGCTCAGAAGCCTAAATTCACCCCTGTGACCACAAGCCACGTCTTCCTTGGTGAAAATCTAAAGAGGGAATCTAACAGTTTCTTGTCAAGGAGAATCCCCCTGCCCCTCTGTGCCCCTGCCACCCCCCACTGCCGCCACTGTTCTCTTGGGCATTCAGTAACCGCTGCAGGCTCAGTTAAGCTGAGCTCAGGAGTTCAAGAGCAGCCTGGGCAAATGGTAAAACCACATCTTTACAAAAAATACAAAACTTAGCTGTGCCTGATGGTGCACGCCTGTAGTTCCAGCTACTCGGGAGGCTGAAGTGGGAGGATGTCATGGGCCTGGGAAGCAGAGGTTGTGGTGAGCCGAGATCGTGCCACTGCACTCCAGCCTGGGTGACAGAGCCAGACCTTGTCTCAAAAAAAAAAAAAAAGACATTTACGACTGAGCAGTAGATGTTCATGCTGAATATTTTCCATTGCTCCCCTGACCCCCAATTCACTCTCCAACCTCCCCTGCTTTGCTTTGTCAGAAAGCTGTTCTGTATGGACTGTACCAACAGGCACCTTTGTATGAGTGATCAACCCATTTATTGTCCAAACTGTGGTACTTTTGAGAAAGAACGATGGGAGCAAACCAGGACTCTGTGGACAAATGTCTGTTGGAGTTCGGTTCTTGCCGTGCAGGTTGGCTGCAGGGCCCTTCAGAGGGCCACAGCTCTTGCCACACCCAACCCCCTCCACACAGCTGGCTCTCTGGGTTACAGCTCACCCCCTCTTCTTGCTCTCTCCTGGCAGGGTTGATGATGGCTTCTCACCATTGCTGGACCCCAGAGCTGCGCCATCCATGGTTTTCCCTACACCCTGCCCATGTCTGTGCAAACAGTCTCTTTCTTAAACTTCCTTCTTTCCCAGTTTGAGTGGGCCATCTGTTTCCTGCCTGTACCCTACAGACACAAAACTCCAGAAAAGAAGCACGAAAGATAAATTTGAAAGGAAGGGTGTGGTCGGCACAGAGAGCCTCCTAGATATCTTCCAAAGAGCCATTGCGCCGACTCTCCTGTTTCTGCAGATTTCTGTTACGCCAAATCCTGCAAATAAATGATTTTACTACACCCACCCCCAGCAACTAGGATGTTACAACAAATACAATTTTAATTTTTTTTTATTATAAGGAGTTTTTTTGACACTTTGAAAGAAACGAGAAGAAAGAAATTGTAATTTGCAGTGTGAGAATTCAGTATGAAAAAATCTATTCATTTGGCTTATCTTGTTCAGAACTTGCTGTGCTCCCTCAAACTGAGGATTGATGCATTTCAACTCTACAAAATTCTCAGGCAATATCTCTTGGAGTATCTGTTCCCCTTCCCCATTTTCTCTGGAACTAGCAATATGCTGTAGTCTCATGTCCTCCGTGTCTCCTAACCTCTTCAGTCTATTTTCTATTAACATTTCTTTATTTCTGGGCTTCCTTCTGAACTTTCTGATTAAAAACATTTCCTTTTCAGCTCCATGTCTATTCAGTTCTCTAACTTGTCCATACATAGTTCAAAGGCACATGGTAATTCCAGGGACTGTAATTTTCATTTCTAGGCTTTCTTTGATTCCTTTTTCATGATGCTTTTCTCTTTTCATAGTGTCTGTTTTGTGTCCTTCTTTTATATTTGAATTATTTTAAATTTGCTTATCTCTATCAGCTCTATCAGACTGATGGATTATCTTCAGTTCTTGGTGGTTGAGCCCTGCTGGGAGTTTGCTGATTCTTGAGTGTGATGAGTGCACTGTGGCCTTGTATTGATCAATTCTTTATGGTTCTGAATCACAAGCTCAATTCAGGAGGCTTTCCATGGGAATATTGCAAGGACTTGATTGAAGGTGTATCCCCTCGGAGCCATTTCTCATTTGTTTCTTCTGGGTTACCCAGTATTATTTTAGACCAGGAACAATTTTTCACAGTAATTTTCATTTTAGGTATTTTGGATCCATTTAAGATATGGCGAACTGAAACGCCCAAATGCAGCTGTGGTGCAGGCCTCTGTCACAATTTTTTCACTGAATGCTTTTCACTTCTTCCCAGATCCCAGACAGACTAAGGCTGCCAGGCTGCTGTGCCGGCCACCTGTCCTGGTGGGCAGATTGTTTCTCATTCACTTGCCCTTGAACTACAGCAGCTATGGGGTGTCCCAGCTCTGCAGGTGGCTCTCAGTGGCACATTCCTGACTTGCATGGGACTGGGAACCTTTTTCTGGTCCTCCTTGGGGGTGAACACGGAGGCTAAGCCCTTGGATTATTGAAACCAAGGACTCCTCCTAGGGCAATTGAAGCATCAGCTATCATACCTTCTATTTTTTTTTTTGAGGCTGAGTCTCACTCTATCACCCAGGCTGGAGTGCAGTGGCATGATCTCTGCTCATGGCAACCTCTGCCTCCTGAGTTCAAGTGATTCTCCTGCCTCAGTCTCCCAAGTAGCTGGGATTACAGGTGCCCACCACCTTGCCTGGCTAATTTTTGTATTTTTAGTAAAGGCGAGGTTTCACCATGTTGGCCAGGCTGGTCTCAAACTCCTGACCTCAAGTGATCTGACTGCCTCGGCCTCCCAAAGTGCTGGGATTACAGGTGTGAGCCACCATGCCTGGCCACACCTGAAACTTTCAATAAGGCCTGGGATGAGGCTGGTGAACGGAGGGATTTTGAGCAGGAAAAGGACAAAAGATCACACCTACCCCCTTAAATTAGATTATTGTCCCACATTTCAGCATCTTTCTGACTTTCCCCTCCTTTCAAAATATCAAGCACTCACTGTGCAGACATCAAGATCCTATTAACATGCAACTCCTTTCACAACTATTTATTTTATTTA